GTGGAATAATTAGGAGGTCGGATTTCTAAAGACAGGAGAGGAGGGAAACTGCGGAGTGTAGATGAGCGCGCAACCAAAAAGAAGGCGGGTTTTCGTGTGGGGGAGAAGACGAAGTTTAGTGAGTCAGGAACCTCTATGAGTTTGGGAAGGTCGGTCGTCGTGATGTACCGTGGAGTCGGTTTCGACTCTTAGCGACCCTGTACAGGGTTTCCAAGGCTGTAAATCTTTACGGGAGCAGAAAGCCTCATCTGAGAGTTTCGAACTGCTGAACTTATGGTTCGAACGTGATTCGTAACCACTACACTACCAGAGCTCTTGAGTTTGGGAAGAGGAGAGTGAAAATAAAGCGTCTCCGTTTTTTTTAAAAAAAAAGAAGTAAAATGCCCACGCTTCCGAAAGGGGTAAAGAAGAGTTTCTGTGTTTATGCCAAATATTCGGAGCGGAGTATGCAGTGAACTCAGGGGAGTCTAGTGTAACTGTCCCGAGGCAAAGCCCCAGGCAAGGCGCCCCTAATCTCCTTCCCCCCACCCCCCAGGACCGATCTGCTCACCTGCGCCCCCTGCGCCCGCAGCGCCGCCTCCGGCCCCCGCAGGCGCGCCAGCTCCAGGGCCCCCGCCGTCTGCAGCACACACAGAACCAAACACCTCGTAGGCTGGCCGCGGCGGGATAATGCCGTTGGCGGCCGCCAGCGCCAGCCCCTCGGCTGTGCCGTAGAGCAGCTGCAGCTCGCGCGCCTCGTTCTCTTCTTGTGCCTGTTGCCTGCGCAGCGCCACCTGCGCCGCCATGACGCGCTGGCGCTCCGCGATGAGTGTGCACTTGGCGCACAGGCAATCCTTCCAGCGGCAGTAGCGCTTGTGGCCCTTGAGTGCCGACACCACGCCGTGATTGCGGCAGCGCGCGCACTTCGGGGTTCGCGGATACTTCTCCGCTGCCCTCAGTAGCAACGGTGGGGCCCGCAGCAAGCCGCCTGCTACGCTCACCGGGAGCGACGCGGCCGCTGCCGCCGCAGCAGCAACCGAAGCCACCGAAGCCACGGGCGGCCCTGTCGCTGTTGCTGCCGCTGTTGCCGCGCCGGGCACGCTGGGCAGCTCCGAGCGCAGCTCCATGACCGGACCTAGCGTGGAAGAGGGTGGGAAAGAGGAACAGACCGGCGGTGAGGATCGCACAGTTTGCTTAAGCTAACGCGCAGGACAGAGGAACACAGGACTTGAAAGGAACATGTTGGTCACAGAAGTTTGGTTCATAGTTGCCAAATTACTGGAAGACGGTGCTTTCAGAACCCATCATAAGGTCGACATTCCCTCCCTCCCCACCTCCGCCCAGCCATTCTGTTTATCTTATATGTGATTTACGTGTTGGATGTACGGTTCCGTTTGAAAAAGTGGTTCCGTCGTGTAAAAATTAAAGACATGTAACATTTGAAAGTCACTGGTTCAAACAGCTTTAATGAGGATTTGAAAAATAAAATACTATCCCCAAAAGTTTGGTTCATATTAGAGAGAAACCGTTGACCCAACAGTTAGGTTGATAACTAAGAGTAAAACAGGAATATCTGCAGGTAAACGCTCAGTTTGGCGAAAGGGTGAAGAAGAGGGCGAAATGGAGACGCAAATTTCAGCTGGTTGGGGCCTAGATTGTTTTGGTGGCAATTTTGTTTTGCTTGACGGGGGTGAGTTGCATGAAAACTGGGAACAGAAAGGATAGCTTTGGAAACTAGAGAATGACGGAAAAAATTTTAAACTCGGCGTCAGTTAGTTTGGGTGACTCATGGACCGGAAGAAATGTTAAGTGCTAACAGTTGCCTTCGACCCAGGGGGAGAGAAGACCAGTGCGGAGCTAAGTTTAGGAGGCCTGGGAGAATGGGGGGTTAAAGAGATAATTCAGCTGAAGAAACTTCCTTTGGATAGAGAAGCCCAGCCTAAATATTAGTTGGAAGGCTAAGGGACACAGTAAAAGACAGAGCTGATATATAATATAGGTGCTGAGACTTAGTGTCCACGCGAGGGAGAGGGTGGTTGGTGGACGAAGGAAAAAAAAAAGGTTGGTGGGAATGGAGTAAAACCCGTGGCACCATTTTTAGTTTTGCGGTCTGGAGTAGTAGTCTTGGAGAAAACATTCTGTGCAAAGTTAGGCACTTCGGGTGAGAGAAGCCAGGTGAGTCTCCATCCTTTTATTTGACCCCTCACGGCCCCTCCCCCACTCCCGGTTTAAGGATTGAGTCGCCTGACACGCCCTCCCCATTCTGGGGCCCCTGGGGACCCGGTTCTGGCACAAGTTTCCACGTTCTGATTTCCGTAGTTGGGTTGCTGGGATTTGGTTGGCCTTGAAGGCCGCTCTGAAGTAAGGGAGTAAGTAGCCTCCAGAGCTGGCCATGCGCGGACGCCGGGATCCCAACAGCGCCGCAGCCTCAGAGGCCCAAGCAGGCCCAACACCCAGCTACCGCCCTGTCCTAATTTTGATCCCGGTACCCAATCCCGGTGTTTCCGCCCGAGAATTTCAGACCCACTCCCCCTGTGAGTTGTCTATTTCCCCTCACCCCTCAGGCCGCGCAGCCTCTGGGACCCGCAGGGTCAGGGCCTCCGCAACAGGGGCCTCAGGCGTTTTGGCTCCCATGCTCTCCCTTTGGCCCTCAATTACCTGCCTCGGGCTCCTGGCTCCTCCTCCTCCTCCGCTGTTGCAGCACTCGCCTCCCAGCTCCGCTCGCGACGCAGGTATACACGGCCTCTCCCCTCGCCCCTGGCCCCTAATCTGACCACGTCACCCTCCTCCGGTCACCATGTCCTAACTTCCCGGGCCCTCAGAACGCTGCGCAGCCCAGCCCTCCCGTCGGAAATCGAAGCTGGAGGTTCGCTTAGGGGCCGGCGGGCTGGAACTCGCGCCCCTGCCCTTGCCGCGCCGCGTCCCCTTGCAGTGCGCGCTGGACGACGCGCGCAGCCGGGGCCCAGTTGCCCGGCGCTGCCAGACTCTCAATGAGCCGCTCGCCCGCTCTATTGTTGCTCCTTAGGGCTCCATTAGACAGAATTGGACAACAATGTGGCGCCTGCCATTGGCCAGGGGAGGCAGACGGCGCTCTGATTGGCCGGGCCCGCGCCCGGGGAGCCCCGCAATCTACTGTGTCCGAAAGATTCGAAACTCCAAAAGCTTCACTGTGTACCTCGGGGAGGGGCGGGGACGCACCAGGGAAGGAGTGGAAAAATGTGGGCGAGGAGGAGCGTTGAAAATATCGTGACAAGTAGTTTCCGTGCGCCCGAGAGCGTGTGAATTGCGCCTAATTACCGTGTCCGGTGCGCCTCTCTACGTAGACGTGTGTAACCCCTCGGCTTCTGGGGCGCGAGCTCTGCTGCGCGGCTCTCACTGGCCGGGGGCACTTGGCAAGGCCAATCTTCCCAAGTGGCCCAGGCGGCTGGGGGGCGGAATGGGGGCAGGTGACAATTCAATTACCGCGGTCAGGGTGGGGGTGGGACGGGGGCACAGAGGTGGGGAGGGGAGGGTGTTAATGGCATAAATGCCACGACGATGTTTCCTGCCTCCTCCTGGCGGTTGTGGCATGCTCCCTTTTTCCGACGTGTTTGGGGTAGTTGTGGGCTGTTGTTTTGGGGTTTCCCCTGGTGCCTTTAAAGCTCGGTTTCTTTGTTTTAAAAGTCTTGATACGATAGGCATCGCGGAGGGTAAGTGTGATTTTTGAAGATTTTCGTTTTTAAAGAAGAGCCCAGGGACCAGAAAAGAGATAGAGCTTCCTGTCATCTCCCCCGCCGCCTTCCCTGCGCCCCTCCCCCAGTCCCTGGGCCCCTCTTCGCTCTTTTCTGTCCTCATTCTTCCAGCATCTCAATTTCTTTCACGTGGTGGGGGGATTCTTTTTGTTGTTGTTTGTTGTTTTAAATTCACGAATAGCTTTTTTTTTTCCTGTTTTAAACGAAAGTAAAGAGTGCACCTTCTGTCTCCTCAGACCCTCTTTTTAAGCAGAACGTTCCAACCATTTAGAACGTTTCATCCATTTGTCCATCCTTACAGGCAGAATGCAAGGTCGCCGTGGGGCCCCCAGGAGCAGTTGTAACTTTGGCCTTATTCTCTCTAGTCCTGACATCATGGCCCCGAGGAACAGCTCGGTCTGCAGAGGAGGTAACAGGTTTCGGATTTTATTTCCCTTTTGAATGGTAAAATCTGGAATTAATGTCGAGTCCTGGGACCAGGGTCGCCTTTGATTTCTGTCTCAGATTTTATTTGTGTCTTTTCTCTCCGTCTTTCCTTGTTCTCTTAGTCTCATTTTTATTCCCTACTTTACTTTCTTTCTGAGTAAGCAGAATTCGTTAAATTAATTAGAAAATGAGCGTTCCTATCATTCACCCTGCACTTCCTGCCTTGTTTCCACCTTGCTTTTTTGAACTTCCAGGTCCGCAGGGGTCTAGCCCTCTCTGTCCCTGGTGTGGACGTGCGGGCGAGCAAAGGCTGTCCCATCCCGGGTGCCGAGGCCTCTGGATGCAGCCACTCGCGCTTGGCACCGCTACTGGGCCCCGCGGTGCCAGCGCAGTCGACTTTGGCGTCTGAGGCCCGGGACTAGGGAATGAGAGCAAGACCAGCGGGGCCCTACCACAGACCTCGGAACTTCGTTTTCTCGGCAGATCCATGGCAGCCATCCCCTGAAGGAGTCAAATCCGGGGAACAGGATGGGGACTGAACTCCTAAGAGACTGGGTGGGAACTTCTAGAAAGTTGCCCAGGTCTGGAGCGCTGGTGCGCTCTGACCTGGAGATAGCGATAGAAACACTCCGGCTAACTCCCAGCAAATTCCACTGACTGGACCACAAGAACGGGTCTGGGTGAGAGAAAGTCAGCTTCCTCGAGGGTCTCCGGCACCCACCGAGTTGAGGGTAAAGGCGTTCGTTGGGGATTGTAAATCCTCCAGGAGCGCAGGAATCAGACCCCCCTCTGCAACACCTAGAGATTACTCGACCAAGAAAATCCACAAAATAAGTGCACCCTGAAGCCCAAGGGGTGGCCACGGCAAGGGCTGGATTCTGCCCAGAGCTCCTTGGAGAGGGTTTTTCGGAAATTATTTTTGAACTGAAACGAAATAAGCTATACAAATCTGCCAAACTTTCGGAGGGGCGGTGGCCCAGGATTGGGCAAGGCCCATGTGAGATTTCCCCACCCCTCTTCCAGTGAACCCGCAGAAGCCAGGGGTGCAGCCACGACGACTCAGGAATCCAGAAATCCAGAACTCTCTCGCCGGCGTGTAAGGAGTCACCTTTTTGGGGAAAAAGGAGGGAGGGCACACGTTCTGGAATCTGGCCCAAACAGAGGGAATCTGCCCCCCACACCCTTGCAAGTGCCTCTTTCCATCCACAGCCCCACCACCTTTCCTTGGAGGCGGCAGAGGGAGAGTGGGTAGGTGGGTGGGGGTGTTGAGGCGCTAGTTTGCATGACTGTTAAGGGTTATAGTGCGGCGTGAGTAGAGAATAGCAATTCTGGATGAGGTCGCTGTAGTCCTCCCTCCACAGGGTATGAATTCTGGGGTTTCCCAGGTCACTCTAATAGTTTCTCCTAATTTGAACTCCGGTGGGGAGGGTTGAGTAGAGAGGGCAGATGATGTCTGAGTATACTTACCAGCCCTGAAGAGAGCATGCTCAGGTGAACCCACCCCTCCCACACACCCCTGAGTGTGACCAAGACATATGTCTCCAACAATATAACTAACCTCCATGGCAAAATGCTTGGACACACCCTTAACACCGCATACAGTGATCGCCGAAGTACCGGGACATGCACTCAGTTCTCCGTTCCCACCCACGATAACCCTTTCAGAAAGTTCAATTGACCTCACAGTACTCACCCTGGGACGTCCACCTGAAATGTGACTTCACACCCGGACGCTCCCAGGCTCCTACTTCGGTGGCTGCACACACATTAGTGCATGCCTACGTTCTCACGCTCGTGTCCCTGTGTTCGTCCACCAAGCCGCGGATCTTCCCCTACCCCAGGACCCTGAGCAAAGAAAGTCATAGGCCTCCAGGACAAATGAGGCAGAGGGCGGGTGCTTACACACTCACACAGGTACACACACACACTCACATACTCACACATTTCCTCTAAATTCAGATTACTTTGCTGAGGCCTCCGCTGTGACCAGGTCTGAGAGCAGGTGGGAGGGCGGAGGGGGAGGACCGTCCTCACCCCTGTATCGGATAGAACCAGCTCTAGTGCCCC